GGGCCCGACCCCCAGAGGCCTTCCTCCACAAGAAACCCAACCCTGCGACCCCAGGGCGTCGATTGATTTTTTGCTCGGCGCGGGAGCGTCACGCTGCCCCCCGCAGAACCATGGGAGCCCAAGAAACCCAGAGCACACTGGAGGCAAGTAGGACGTTTCTTGGCATGGCTTCCCACTGTAAGCACGGACTCCAGGACCCCCCGTTGATTCCCACCTTTTCTGGATCCTCCTCCTCCTCCTCCTCCTCCTCCCCCTCCCCCTCCCCCTCCTCCCCCTCCTCCCCCTCCTCCTCCTCCGTCTCCTGCCCGCCAGCCACTCCCGCGCCTGCCCGGCACGCCGCCGGGCCCCGCCGCCGCGGCGTGGCGGCCCATGCTGGCCAGAGGCGGCGCGCGCGCGCGGCGCGGCGCGGCGGGCCCCGCGGCCCACCGAGGGGGCCCTCGACGCGGCCGCGGGTCCCTCCTCCTCCTCCTCGTCCTCCTCCTCCTCCTCCTCCTCCTCCTCCTCCTCCTCCTCCTCCGCCTCCGCCTCCGCCTCCGCCTCCGCCTCCGCCTCCTCCTCCTCCTCCTCCTCTCCCTCCTCCTCCTCCCTCCTCCTCCTCCTCCTCCTCCCCTCGACGCGGCCGCGGTCCCTCCTCCTCCTCCTCTTCCTCCTCCTCCTCCTCCTCCTCCTCCTCCTCCTCCTCCTCCTCCCCTCCCTCGCTCCCTCCCTCCCTCCCTCCCTCGGCGACTGGGCGACCCGGAGATCCAACGCACTAAAAAAAAAATCAAGGCGGAGGCTTGTCGCTGTCTTCGGCCTTTTGAGGGCCCTCGCCGGGCCCCAGGACCGTCAGGAAACGACTCGGGATGGAGGACCGGTCCGCGGGAAGGGGTCGAGACTTCTGGAGACCCCGTAGATTGGAGAAAAAAAAACACGGCATCGGACCTCTGGGGGGCGGGAGTGGGAGGCAGGCCACCAGGTCCTTGTGTGTACTTCGGCGGCGGGCGAGGGGGGGAGCCTCGAGGTTCGAACTTCGAGGCTCGAGGCGGTGCTGCGTCGCTGTGGGCCTCCGGGGGCCGTGGTTGGGCCCCGCGCGGGGCGCCCGAGATGCCATCCGGGGTGGGAAGCCGCGTCGGATGGAGGAGGAGGAGGAGGAGGAGGAGGCGGAGGAGGCGGAGGCGGAGGCGGAGGCGGAGGAGGAGGAGGAGGAGGAGGAGGCGGAGGAGGAGGCGGAGGCGGAGGAGGAGGAGGAGGGGAGGAGGAGGAGAGGGAGGAGGAGGAGGAGGGAGGAGGAGGAGGAGGAGCGGAGGAGGAGAGGAGGAGGAGGAGGAGGAGGAGGAGTGAGGAGGAGGGGTCCGGGCGGCGCGCCGAAAGGGCCGCCGCGGGTGCAAGTGGGCAGGGGTTCGGCGGGAGCGGGGGGCGGCAACTGGGCGACGAGGCGGCACACCCCCAGGGCCTCCTCCTCCTCCTCCTCCTCCTCCTCCTCCTCCTCCTCCTCCTCTTCCCCCCTGGGAGGCGGCGCGAGAGCGCGACGTTATTCGCACTTCGCGCTTCGCGCAGCGCGAAGCGCGAAGTTGGGAGCCCTTGCAGTAGGGCCCTGGGACCGCCAAAAAGGCATCGGGGGGGAAGACCTGCACCAGGTCACCGGGAGGTGTCTGGGGACAGATTTCAGCCACGCGCAGAGGGGGGTGGGGGGAGGGGGGAGGGCTTCTTAGAAGCACCCCTGCTTCTTAGAAGGCGCGGGCCCTGTCTACAAACGTGAGGCCGGCGCCTTCTGAGAAGCAGCCTCCTTCTAAGAAGGCTTCCCCCCTCCCCCTACCCCCCTCTGCGCGCCGCCAACCCTCGCCGTTGTGTGACAAAAGCACGACGGCAGGTTCTTCGCTATGTTCGGCCCTCGGGGGCCCTGACCAGGCCTCGGGATGGTCAGAAAACGAATCAGGGCGAAAGACCGTTCCCGGGGAGGGGGTCCAGATTTTTGGGGGTCGACGCTGTGAAAAAATCACGACGTCGGGGGTCTGGGCAAGGACCTTGAGTATTACAGATCCTCCTTGGAAGCGTACGTCCGACCCCAGCATTATAGCGTAGCTATCGTGTAGTGTGTAGTTTCCCGAGCGGCACGGCCAGAAACCGCCCGCCACGGAGCATATGCTATGAGATTTCTCGGCGCGCGCGTCGCCATCTTGGGGGCGACGCACACGTAGTATTAGTATGTTCGGGTGGTGGCGCCGACAACTGGGCGACGAGTAGAAGTGGGTCTCTCTATCAGACCCCTATCGGCGATCACTGGGCGATTGGGGGTCGATGCGTCCCCCCCTATGCCTGTCCCCCCCTGTCTTTGCTCCTGAAACTCGGCGACGAAAAGAAACTGGGCCCTGACACCCACCCTAGTAGTGCTGGCGACAGAAGCTGTTGGAGAAGAGCGACGGCACGACTGAAGTTCGAGAGTCGGCGGCAAGACCGCGGATTCACTTGGTTTCCCCACGATGGCAAACTATCTAGGAACTCAGACCCCCGACGTCGTGATGTGTTGACAACGTCGACCCCCAGTTGTCTGGACCCCTGCCCCGGGACCAGTTTGTCAATTTGATTAATTTTTTGAGGGTCCCGGGGGCGGCTGAGGGCCCCGGGATCGAATAGAGCGACAAAAACTCCCGTCGTGATTGTTTCACAACGCGAGGGGGAGTCTGGGAATGTGGACGTTCTTGGCCCTCGCTGGGTATCCGGGCGCCGATGCTTCCGGAGGCCTCTGGGCATCTCTCCGGAGGCGAGGCGGCATACCAACAGTTGCAAGGCCGAGGCTGTCGGTACCTACCGAGGGCGGCGGCGGCCGGGAGGTCTGGTCGGGTGGTCTCGGCCGAGGACTCTGAGGAGGAGGAGGAAGAGGAGTAGGAGGAGGAGGAGGAGGAGGAGGAGGAGGAGGAGGAGGAGGAGGAGGAGGCGGAGAGAGTGTTGTGGGCCAAGCAACGTTGAGGACCAAGTCGTGAACCGTTCACTCCAAGTCACACGAGCGCCTCGCTGTCGCGCCACAGCGTGGTTGCACAAGTGGGCAATATGCGGTCCCCCCGATGAGAACTGAGAGCGGGGCTCCGAAACGCGAAATCAAGTCGCCCCCTCGTCCTGAAGGATCCTGGCCAGGCACAGGTCGCACGGAAAGTCTCAAGATAGCCTAAAAGAGCACCGAGTGTCTGGGCGCTCACAGGGAAGTGTAAGGCAGCATCCGCACCTGTCTACATCAAGGGAAAACGGTAGGATCATGTGGATCTACTCCCTTAGCCCCTCAACGAAGTGTCGACTAAACAATGGGATCATGTACATACAAAGCCGCTAAGTGCGCTCAGTGTGCGAGAAGAGATCATGCCGGAAGGGGTCTAGGGACACGCTGGTCGTCGAGCCTTGAGCTCCCTCTGAAGTGCCCCTGGGCTTCTGTGTTCCCCGAGCGGGCTCTCGGGAAACATGTAAGTTACCAGCCTGGAACATATCCCTATCCCTAAGCTCGTGAGTAAGGGCCCCGAGAGGCTGGTGAGTAAGGGCCCCGAGAGGGCCATCGGGAGACGGGGACCACCTCTGTGGGGGTGGGGGGGGGGGGGCAAAGCGCTGGCAGGCTGGGTTCCGATCCTGTGTGCCCGCCGCTGCGCAGGGCGTGCCCTTCCCTCTCGCACACCTTCTGCTTTCCGCGGAGCACCGCGGGGAGGGGGGCCGAACGATCGAGCGCACAGAGCGGGCGCCGTCCGTCCGTCCTCCTCTCCTCCACCCGCTGCTGCTGCCTGCCTGCCTGCCTGCCCGCCGCCTGCCGGCCCGCCCGCCCGAAACTGCGTGCTGCTGCTGCCTTCCTGCCTGCCTGCCTGTCCGCCGCCTGCTGGCCTGCCTGCCCGAAACTGCCTGCCGGTCCGTCTGTCTGCCTGCCTGTCTGTCCGCCTGCTCCTCGTCGTCTTCGTCGTCGTCGTCGTCGTTCTTCTTCTCCTCCTCCTCCTCCTCCTCCTCCTCCTCCTCCTCCTCCTCCTCCTCCTCAATCCTCCTCCTCCTCCTCCTGACGTTCCGAGTGGGACGCTTGCTCCTCCTCCTCCTCCTCCTCCTCCTCCTCCTCCTCCTTCTCCTCCTGCTCCTCATCCTCCTGACGTTCCGAGTGGGAAGTTTGCTCCTCCTCCTCCTCCTCCTCCACCACCACCTCCTGCTGGCCGCAGCGCTTCACGAGCGCTCCCGCTCCGAAGCCGCCCGCGCCAAGCGTTGAGCCGCGCGCAGGCGTAGGCCTGGCACCCCCGATCGCCGCCGAGTATGGTATCCAGAGTGAGGGGGAGGGGAAGGAGGTCCCATGCACTGTTATCTAACCTGGGGGAACAAAACATGGCATTTAAGCATGCACGTTTGGGGCTCCGCGCGGATTTCTTGGATCTGCGCTGGGCCCCCTCTCTGGCGCGCGGAGCGCGCCAGGGGCACCGCCAGAGGCGTCGTCGGGGGGGCCCTGCGCGGATCCAAGAAATCCGCGCGGAGCCCCAAAAGTTTGTCCTGGCGTCCGAGTGCACTGGGCTCGGGTGCACCTCGCAGCCATTTGGACGCCCGAAATGGGTACGGAAAAAATTGGTACAATGCCCAACAACAAAGGTTGTCCCAAACCAACAGCGGCCGCTGTTGGGCAGGCGGCCCCCTGTCTTGAATGGACACAGGCCGCGGCGGCGCGGACAGCGAGGCCTGTTCAAAATGAACAGGAACTGCTGTTGGGCACTGTACCCATTTAGATGCTCGTTCTGGGGACCTTCCTGGAGCCATTCGCTCCACTCGTGCGTCGAAGCTGCGTCGAACGTCAGTCGATGTGGGTCGACCCTTTGTCGAACCCGAGTCGAACCTGAGTCGAACCTGAGTCGAACTTGAGTCGAACTTGAGTCGAACTTGAGTCGAACTGGGGTCGAACAGATCCGTCAGGTGGGCTCCAGGAAGGTCCCCGAAACGAGCATCGAATACCCATTCTTTCCGTGCCCATGTCGTTCGTGCAGATCCCAGAGCTCTCCTCTGCTCCCGCGGCGGCCTTTTGCTCGCTCGGCCGGCCCTCCGTGCTGCAGCGCCTGCCGCCGCCGTGCCGCCGCCGTGCCGCGGCACCGGGCGCCTCTGCCCAGACGCCCGGCGCCGTGACTCTTTCGCAACCTCGACCCCCAGAGTTATGTTGTTCCCATCCTACTTAAAGACCACATCCCAGAAATAATTTCGAGCTCCCGGAAAAGTGTCAAAAGAGTGTCGAAAGAGTGTCGAAGCAGTGTCGGGCAAGTGTCTCCCAGGGCCCGACACGTGAAAACCCTTGAGTTTCGGTACTATTTTGGGCGCTCGAAATTCTTCCTGGTGATCAAGGCTAAAGTAGGTTGGAGCATCATAACCCCAGAGGTCTGCACCCCTTCCCCGGGACCAGTTTTTCGTCCCGGGTCGTTGGTTGACGGTCCTGGGACCCGGGGGGAGCCCGGAGGCCGAAAACGACAAAAAAAACTCGCGTCGTGATTTTGTTCACAGCGCGAGGGGGTCGCGTCGTGACAAATTCGCGACGGGCGGCTCTCGGCAATTATTGGGCCTCCAGAGGTCCACAGGACGACTCAGGATGACAAGCCGCCCGGGGCGGCTTGTCATCCTGAGTCGTCCGCTGCGAAAAAAGTGTCACGCTCCGAAAAAAGTCCGCGCTGCGAAAGATCCACGCTGCGAAAAAAAAGTCATGACGCCGGGGGCTTGGGTTGTGCATTTTCCCGAGGGGGATTGCAGCAGCACTCTCTCCTCCTGTAGAGGTCATCCTGATGCTGAAAATACGCGTGATGTGTTTTTGTTGCGTGGTGTTTTTGCTTCGTGTTTTGCACATACTGAAATAATATGCGTAGTGTTTGTGCGTAATGATTTTTGCGTATTGCTTTTGCGTAGTGTGTTTGCGTAGTGCTTTATTGTTTTGGCGTAGTGCTTTTGCGCAGTGCTTTTGCATAGTGTTTTTTGCGTCGTGTTGTTGCGTCGTGTTTTTGCGCAGTGATTTGGCGTGACGTTTTGGCGTAGGGTTTTTGTTGCGCGGTTTTTGCGCAGGGTTTTCGCACAGGGTCTTCGCGTGATGCACTTCGGCGCCGCGTGTGCGCGTAGCGTTCTTCGTCGTAGAGTTGCCGCGTGGCGCTTTCGCCGAGCAGCGTTTCTGCGAAGTGCTTGTTTTTTATTGTTTCCGTAGCGTTTCCGCGAGGCGTTTTTTTTTTCGCGCAGCGTGTCTGCGCAGCGCTATGGTTGGGTAAGGTGTTCGCTCAATGCGTTTGCTCGTCCAACTTGATTTGTTAACGTCGCGTTTTTTTCCTCGTAACGTTTTCGCGTGATGTGTTCGTCTACTGCTTTGGCGTACTGCGTTCGCGTGGTATTCAGCTTGCGTAGGGGTTCTGCGTGGTGTTTTTGCGTAGTGTTGTTGCATAGTGCTTTTGCGTCGTGTTTTTTTGCGTAGTGGTTTTGCGTAGGGTGTTTTGCACAGGGTCTCCGCGTAATGTTTTTTTTCGGCGTCGCATTAGTGCGCAGAGATCTTCGGCGTAGAGTTTTCGCGTGGCGCTTTCGTCGCGCAGCGTTTATGCGCAGTGTGTTTTCTTGGCGCAGCGTTTCAGCGGAGCGTTTTTTTTTTCGCGTAGCGTTGCTGCGCAACGCTTTGGTTGCGTAAGGTGTTCGCTCAGAGTGCTTTTCGTTGTTTTTGTTTGCGTAGCGTTTCCCCCATTTTGCTCGTAACGTTTTCGCGTAGTCTTTGTCCTACTCCTACTAATACTCCTACACGTACTACAACTCCTACTCGTACTATTACTACTACTCCTACGACTACTCATGCTACTCCTGCTACTCCTACTACTTTTACGTGGTGTGTTACGTAGTGTGTTAACGCAGTGCTTTTTCAGACTCCTGCCACTACTCCTACTCCTACTGCAACTCATACTCCTACTACTACTCCTACTCCAAGTACTCTTCCTACTCCTATTGCTACTACTCGTACTCCTACTCCTACTCCGACTCCTACTACTACTCCCACTCCTACTCCGACTCCTGCTGCTACTCCTACTCCTGCTCCGACTCCTTCTATACCTCCTCCTCCTCCTACGACTCCGGCTCCAACTTCTTCTGCTCCTCCTGCTCCAACTTTTACGACTACTCCTACCACTACTTCTACGACTACTGCTACCACTACTCCTACGACTACTCCTGCTACTCCTGCTACTCCTACTGCTTCTACGTAGTGTTCTTACGTGGTGTGTCTCAAGTAATGTTTTCCACCTCCTACTACTACTCCATCTCCTACTACAACTCCTACTCCTACTGTGGCTACTACTCCTACGACTAATCATGCTGCTCCTGCTACTCCTACTGCTTCTACGTAGTGTTTCCACGTAGTGATTTAACGTAGTGTTTGTTTCAGACTCCTGCTACTACTCCTACTCCTACTGTAACTCAGAGTCCTACTACTACTCCACAAACTACTCCTACTACTACTACTACTACTACTACTACTACTACTACTGCTACTGCTACTGCTACTACTACTACTACTAC